GAGGCCACTGCATCCAGGCACAGGGACACACAGACGGTGTTGAGTCCTGCAGGGGAGACAGCAGACAGACAGACAGCACTCACTGGCACCTGATGAAAGCTGGTCCCTCCGTGGCCTCCAGCTGAAGTCAAAGATCCTCAGTTTCCAGGCTCAATCTGCTGCATCCGTGCGCTCAGTAAACACCAAGAGCGGATGACGAGCGAATGAGGCCGGAAGAGCGGGTCAGGCCCACGGGCGGGGGACGAGACCCCGGAGGACGCAGGCCCATGGCGGGGGGCGGGTCGCCGGGGCTTTCCAGGAGGGCGGCTCCGGACTCAGCCTGCCGCCTCAGCCCCCCTGCTGCCCTCAGCAGCACCTCAGCCTCTCAGGAGGGAGCGCCCCACAGGGGTGTGCTGTTTGAGTTTAACGTCTTATTTTTATGTTTGCAAAGTTCACACACATGTGAATACAGGTTGCACGAGTTCTCCACATTTTGTTTTGTTGTCGTCACCGCAAGAGACTTTAAGAGAGTCTTAAAGCAAACTCAGGACACCGTGCTGCCTCCGACTCTGCAGCCTGTGTCCCCAGCAGGTGCAGAGCGTTTGTAAACCCCTGCCTTCCTAGCATCCACCCCACACTGTGAGCTACTGTCCCTAAATGCCAGCGACCAGCAGTGCGTGTTCCACGTCCCCGACTGACTCGGCGGCAATTTTCACAGGGAACGGTGGGACTCGGTGCCCACACCTGGCATTTGCTGGCTTTGTGTCTGAAGGTCTCACCCATGAAGGGGCTGCCCCTCCCACCCCCCCACCTCACTTTTCTCTGCCATTTCTTGGTTGGAAACGCCAGGTCACTGGTCCGGGAGCATTTCCCTGGTGCTGCGAGTGGCCCGGTGCACCCCTGCGGTCATTCACAGCGAATTTCCTGCATACTGGCCATCTCAAACCGTCTCCACAGATGGCCAGTTAGCCGGAGAGTGTGAGCGGCCTCAGGGCGTTTGTGTCTCCCCCCTCCCCGCTTTCTTTGGTGGGAATTCCTCCAGGAGGCCATGGGCTTCCCAGTGCCTCACAGCAGGAAGCCCTTCACCTCCTGGTTCCCAACTGAAGCTCTGTAAGATGGACCGTGAGGCTGGTCCTGCTGGCTGCCCACCCAGTGTGCCAGTCCCTGTCACCCTGTGCCCACTGCTGTGAGTAGCCATGGGTGGTGGCCGCCCAGAACCATGACGTCCTTCAGACAATGGAGTGGTGACTCTGTCAGCCTATCGTTCCTCTTGCATTTATTAGCAGGGATAGGAACTTGCCCTTGTCCATTCATAGGCTGTTCTGAAATGGAATCCATGCAAGGAAAGGAAGTACGCTGCTGGCATTGTTACATGCCACTGAGTCAGTTCAGACTCACAGCCTCCCCTTGTACAACAGAACAAGACAATGCCCGGTCCGCCCCCATCCTCGCCATCTTTGCCACGTTTGCGCCCATTGTTGCAGCCACTGTGTCACTCCATCTCATCGAGGGCCTTCCTCTTTTTCACTGACCCTCTGTTCTCCAAGGATGATGTCTTTCTCCAGGGACTGGTGCCCCCTGATGAAATGACCAGACTCTGAGAGAAGTCTCACCACCTCGCTTCTAAGGAGAACGGAAGCCTAAGTGTTTAATTATTTTTATTTATGAATTGGCACAGTAATGACATGGTGCCCACAACCACCAGCATGGACTGATGAGTGTTTTGTTTTTGTTTTTATTTTTGGCTTTTTATTATTTATTTGCTCTTTTGAGTCCCGTTATGAGCTCACAGGTTTGTGTACATTGTTGTGCTTCAATTTGTTGTGGTGTTTGCTCATCTATTTACTTTTTTATGCTGAAATTGTTCCACCTTTGGTCAATAGGGGTCATGTTCAGTGACTCCTGGGTCCTTTCGAAGAATCTAGTGGTGTACTGGGTAAGGCACTTGGCTGCTAACCAAAAGGTCAGCGGTTTGAACCCAACATCTGCTCCATGGAAGAAAGATGGGGCAATCTGTTTCCATAAAGATAAACAGCCTTGGAACCCCAATGGGGGTCACTATGCGTCAGAATCAACTCAGTGGCAGTGAGTTTGGTTTTTGTTTTTTGGGGTCCTTTTGACAGGACCTTGGAGTCATTGGTGGCTCTCTTGCTTTCTGGCTTGACACAGTGGGGTTCAATACATGTTTATGAATTAAATGAATCAGAGGAAAGGTCAGCCTTGCAGGTCAACTCATCTGGAGTGAGAAGCGGGGGGACCCTTGTCTCTTGGGCACTGACAGGTGCTGTGCTCTGAGGGAACATGTGACAGTAGACAGTGACCTGCTCCCTCTCACTCTTCTCTCTCTGCCCCTTCTATTCCATGTTCCAGGGCCATGCCAACCCATGAAGATGGGAATGTCTCATGGCCCTCTTTGCAGGAGTTTGTGCTAGTGGGATTTGAGGGTGGGCTGGAGACCCAGGCCCTACTCTTTGCTGTGTTCCTGGCCCTCTACGTGGTGACCATGCTGGGGAACCTCACAATGATCGTGGTCATCACGCTGGATGCCCGCCTCCACTCTCCCATGTACTTCTTCCTCAAGAACCTCTCCTTCCTGGACCTCTGCTACTCCTCTGTCATCGCCCCCAAGGCCCTGCTCAACTTCTTCTCCTCGACCAGGATCATCACCTTTGCCGGCTGTGCCACCCAGCTCTTCTTCTTCTCCCTGATGGCTACCACTGAGACTTTCCTTCTAGCCACCATGGCCTATGACCGCTTCCTGGCCATCTGCAGTCCCCTGCATTACCCAGTCACCATGTGTCCCTCAGCTTGTGCCCGACTAGTTCTGGGCACCTACTGTGGAGGCTGCCTCAACTCCATTGTGCAGACAAGTCTCACCTTCAGTGTCCCGTTCTGCAGCTCCCACCGCATCGACCACTTCTTCTGCGATGTGCCCCCCCTGCTCCGGATCGCCTGCGCCAACATAGTCCTCAATGAGCTGCTCTTGTTTGGCCTCTGTGGGCTGATCATTGTGGGCACTACACTCGTGGTCCTCGTATCCTATGGCTACATCACAGTGACCATCCTGAGGATGCGTTCACGGACCGGGAGATACAAGGTTTTCTCCACCTGTGGTTCCCATATGACTGTGGTGTCCCTGTTTTACGGAACGATCTTTGTCATGTACGCCCAGCCAGGAGCCATTCAGTCCATGGAGCAGGGCAAAGTGGTCTCCATCTTCTATACCCTGGTTATCCCCCTGCTCAACCCCCTCATCTACAGTCTGCGGAACAAGGACGTGAGGGAAGCCCTGCGGAGGCTGGTCAGGAAGCATGCAGTCATGTGAAAGAAGGCACCGAGGGAGTGAGACAAAGTGTCCAGAGTACTGCAGGGAGCACAGGGAGGACCACTGGGTTTGGTTTGTGGAATTCACTCATCATCTGTTCATCTGTCCACCCACCCATCTATCCATCTGCCCATTTTTCTATCCACCCATCTTTCCTTCTATTCTTCCATTCACCCATCCCTTCTACTCTCCTTCCTTCCATCCATCCACCCATCTTTCCTCCTTCCATCTATCTCTCTGTCCATTGTTCTTCCCTTCTTTTCTTCCTTCCTTCCATCTATCCATCCATCCACCTATCCACCCATCCATCCTTCCATGCATCCATTTATTCCTCCATCCATTCATTTAGTCAGTGCTTCTTGAAAACATGTGGATCAAGCATTTGCTAAGTATGAAATGAATGATGAACAAGGCATGTTCTTCACCCAGAACGCTCAAGGTCCAGAGAGGAAGCAGTGACTCAGACACCTTGAGGACTGAGGGACACAGCAATAATCCAAGAGTCTCAAACAGGACAGTTCTCCTGCTTCTTAGCAGTCAAGTAACTCTGGGCCATTCCATGTGTTTTCAGTAAGAGGGAGGTTAGATATTTGGGCATCTTAATCCAACCTGGGAGGAAAAAATGCTTAATTTCATTTACAATATCCCCACCACCACGACCAAGATGTAAACGTTTGTCATCCCTGTGGGGCCTCATATAGCATCTGCTGGAAGTGGGCGCCTTCCTCCACTTTAGCCTCTTTCCAGTCGATCCTCCATACCATCGCCCCAGAGATCAGTTTGAAATAGTAATTTAAACAACTGCCCAAATCATTGCCTCCTAGTGGTACTGATGTCTGGTAGGACTGAGTCAGGAGCTCTGCTGGCGCAGTGCCTGAGGCACTTGACTGCTAACCAGGCTGGCAGTTCAAACCCACCAGCCACTCCTCGGAAGGAAGTGTCGCTATGAGTCAGGTCTGACTCAATGGCACATAACAACAACAACAACAACAGGACTGAGTTTGGCTGTAGGTGGCTGGGATCTGACGAGCAGTGCCTGTCTCATAACGGGATGCAGGTCAGTAGATTGGGGAGAATGTGATTGTTCTGCTTGGGGAACAAACACCCTCATGTTCCTGCTGCATCACACCCAGGACATGGTCCCTGTTGTCACGAGAGAAGGTGACCCAGAGCTCCAGCCCCTGCATCCACCTTCCTAGCCACAGGGCGGAAGATATCCAAAGTATAACCCATACTCACACGTGTGTTGGGTTGTATGCAGACAAACACTCGGATCATGCATCCACAAGACAGGGAGTTTACCACCATCGCGTCCAGAAGATGTTTATCCAGCTCCCACAACCCCTCACGCCCTCTGCCAGTCATTGCCCTTGAAGGGTAACCGCTACCCTGACTCAAGCACAGATACCTTAGCCCACTTGGGAACTTCTGTGAATAAAGCCATATAGCTGCTCTCCTTTTGTGCCTGACTCTTTTGCTCAACACCGTCTCTGAAAGATTAATCCATTCGATTGTGCACAGTGATAGCTCTTTGATTCCCATTGCTGTGTAGTGTTGTTCTATTATGTGATGATACCACGTTTTATTTACCCATCCAATTGTTGATGGGCATTTAGGTTGAGCCGCTTACGGTCCGTGAACTCAACACTGCCATGACTCCCTTTCACACTTCTTTACTGCGTCTGTGAATGAACTGCTGTACCTTGTAAATACTGCCAGAGAGTGTTGCAAGGCTGTCCACATTTGCCCAGTAGCTTTTCCAGTTCTTTCTGGAAGACCCCGCTATACTTGCCACTTTTAACAATAGATTGGCTGCCCTACTAACGGCTATGGCTGTCCAGCTGTCCTCCCGGGCTCGGGGTGGACCATTAGGACTATGCTGTAGTGGCCTCCAGTAGCCACTGGAGCTGTTTCCCATCAGCCTACAGGAGCAGCTCGAAGAGGTGGCTCTTTCCTGCAGACCTGTCCCGCAGGTTTGCTGCACAAAAACAAATAAAGACCGCCAAATCGTTTTCTGAGAAAGTTACAGCAGTGTCTGTTCCCTCGGCAGTGCGTGGGAATTCCTGTCGCTGTGCATCACCAACAATCATGTCTGTTTGAGAAATGTTAGCCACATTGGTGGGCATGCAGTCCTGTCACCATGGTTTTATTCGCATTTCCTCATGGTTGGTCAAGCGGAACCTCTTTGTATTTATCTCACAATCATCTGGATGTTCTTTTGGGGGAAAGTATATATGTTTTGCCTGCTTTTAATACTGTGTTTTATCTCTTTTTCATATTAATTTGTAGAATTTGATAGATAGTCTGTCTACAAGACCTTTGTTGGTTACACAATTTGCAAATATCTTCTCCCACTTCATGGATTTCACATTTACACTCTTAGTAGTTTTTTGTTTTTCATCTTTTGATTAACCAAACCAAAAACCAAACTCACTGTTGTCAAGTCAGATCTGACTCATAGCAACCCCTCCTTGGGTTTCTGAGGCAGTACCACTGAAGAAGTAGATTGCCCAATCTTCCTTCTGAGGAGTAACTGGTGGGTTTGAACCGCCAGCCTTCTGGTTAGCAGTCAAATGCCTTAGGCACTACACCAGAGCTCCTTTCTGATTAACAGAAGTTGTGAAAGTTACTCAGTAAGGCCAGTGTATCATCACCTTTATGGTTACTGAATTCTGTGTCATGGTTAAAGAATCTTTGTCTCTGTGAGATCCAGCAAGATATTCCTCTGTGTTGTCTTGCAGGAGTTATTTGCTTAGTCTTTCTTACCAACATCTGTATTAATTTTGATTTTGAGAGACAGGGATTAAGCTTCATTTTTTCCATGTGGTTATCCTACTCATTATTATTATGATATGTATTTTTTTAACTGTCCTTTCCTCCACCACTGTATAGGGTCTGGTGGCGTAGTGCCTAAGGCACTTGACTGCTAACCAGAAGGCTGGCGGTTCAAACCCACCAGCCACTCCTCAGAAGGAAGATTGGACAATCTACTTCCATAGTGATACCGCCTCAGAAACCCAAGGAGGGATCGTTATGGGTCAGATGCGACTCCAAGGCGGTCACCTTTCCTTTCTTTTTCCATATAAGGTCAGTCGGTTGGAATTGACTCGATGGCAGTGGGTTTGCTTTGGTTTGGTTCACGTAGTGTCACTCTTGTCATGAGCCTGGTGTTCCTGTCTAGATGAGTCTACTTCTAGAGTTCCTCCTGTGACCCATTGGGTTGTCTGTCCTTGGCTACTTTATGATATACAGTTATTGAATTTAAAAAGTAAAATATAGTGTGATACATGGAATATAATGTTACACACAGAATATAGTGTTACACATGGAATATAGTGTTACACACGGAATATAGTGTTATACATGGAATATAGTGTTACACATGGAATATAGTGTTATACATGGAATATAGTGCTACATACACATGGAATTTAATGTTACACACGGAATATAGTTATACATTGAACTGTGCCCCAGGAAATGTGTCGACTTGGCTGAGCCATGGTCCTCAGTGGTTTGGCAGTTGTGTAATGATCCCCCATGATATGATCTGATGTGATCAGCTGATCAGTTGTACAAGGATTAGGGTGGGATGCAAAACCCTTAATCCCTTCATAGCCATGATCTCATGTAAGGGGAGTGTGTTGGTTAAGTCTGTGTGTCAGCTTGGCTGGGCCTGGTTGAGTGGCTGGGCAACTGGATGTAGTATTCCCCATGATGAGACTGGTAATCAATTCCACGGTGGAATCTACTGTGAGCAGCTGAGTAGCTGCCTTTGGGTATGTGGCCTGCTTCCTGTATATAAGAAACAACTTTGGGAATGGTCTCTAGCCTATGGCATGCTTGGACCCTGCATGTAGCCATGTCATTGCTCAGTAGCCTGCCATGCTCTGCTGACCTTGGGACTTTCAATGGACTTAAATTAATGGCCTGCCATGTGGTTTGGTAACATCAGGACTGTGCCTTTTCACTTGTCAACCTTGGGCTTGTCAATCTCATCAACCAGTGGCTGTCTGAGTGAAGAAAAGCCTCTAGCTCCAGTGGGCTGGGAGCAGGAGTCAGAGCTGGACCCCAAGGTTGAGGGACTTTCACCCAGCCCCTAGAGCCTGGCACTTGGAACTTGGACTTAAAGCCTCCATTGTAAGAATAAAATGCTGTTTGTTGAGGCCATCCCATTTGTGGTGTATTCTGGTCAGAGTAGCACTAGGGAACAAGAACAGGGAGTTTCCCTGGGGTGTGACCTGCAACACCTTTTATCTTACAAGAGATGAAAGGAGAGAGAAGTGAGCAGAGAGAAGAGGACCCATCACCATGAGAAGGAAGAGCTGGGGGTGGGTGTGTCTCTTGGACCCAGGGTCCCTGGGCTGGGATCCTCCTGGGACCAAACGCCACAGAGAAAGAAAGCCACCCCCTCGAGCTGGCACTCTGAATTCTGACTTCTAGCTTCCCAGACTGTGAGAGATTAGGCTTCTGTTTGTTATAGCCATCTACTTGTGGGATTTGTGCTGTAGCAGCAGTAAGTCACCGAGACACGTAGTAATATGAACTCAGCGGTGTCTAAGAGTAAATATAACAAGTGATGTGCAGTACTTTTAGAAATAAAATTTTAAGAGCTATTGAAATTCATAAAAAGAGAACTGAATAATGGAGATATATATACCATGTTCATGGATGAGAGGTTCCAACATTACAAAGAGTTTGAAAGCCAAATATATTCAATGCTACCTTGATCCTAACAGAATTTTTTATAGGACTGGACAAGCTGCTTTTAAAATTTCTCTGAAGGAACCAGGTATCAGAACCGAAGACAACTCAAATGCCCATCTGTAAATGAGTAGATTTCTTTTAATTAGGGGCTAGCCATACAATAGAATAGCACTCAACAATCAAAAGAATGAAATACTGGTACACATACCAACATGGATGAATCTCAAAAACATTATCTCAGCAAAATATAGCAGACACCAACGAGCATTTGCTGTATTGTTTCATTTGTGTTA